TACAACTACAACTACAACTACATACTACATACTACATACTACATACTACTACTACATACTACATACTACTACTACTACTACTACTACTACTACTACTACTACTACTTCTACTTCTACTACTACTACTCCTACTACTACTACTACTACTACTACTACTACTACTACATACTACTACTACTACTACTACTACTACTACTACTACTACCTGTACTAGTACTTCTCCGCTGGTACTACCACGTCACTACCAATACGCACTCAGAACTCATCGCAGTGTTCAACAGAGGCATCTCTGTCGCAGAAATTATAATAAGAATACTCGGAGGTTCGTGACTCGGAGACAAACTAGTTAAATGGAAGCAATGCAACAACACAGGGAAGAGCGCCTTGGAAGATTCTGAGTCCTCGGTAACAACAAGCTCAAAGTACAAGGATTGGCCCTGAGTTAGTTGAGGGTCCCGACACGGGGTTTCTTTGTCCCTCCTGCCTAGCAAGGACGAGCCTGCACTAGATGCGGGGTTGGAGTATGGGGCATAGTGAGGACGAAACCTGATCTGCGAATAGCTTTCTTGCCAAGCTGCTTTTCGTCGAAACACTTTCCACCAGCTGCAACGCCTAACCCAACAGTAACAGTTTTCGAGCTAGGTTGCTCTGGCCCTAACAAATGCAAAACGCCAACGAACTAAAGGTTCACTTGGGGCAAACTGTAGCAGTGTCTAGTTTTACATCATTATGCAATGCACTGGAAAGCGGAGGCTCTTCCAAGCTGGCGGATGGACAAGCTGGAGGGATTCACCATATTTCACGAGAAAGGAGGCTCGCTCCATGCCTGGATTCATGCCGCTTTACATCTGTGCTCAGTAGCCGCAGTAGCCCTGTCAGGCTTCTCCTGAGCTCCTGGAAGCTTCTTGGCACATGCCGAACCAAAGGCAAGCAGAACCTCACCTCCAGAGTACAGTACACGAGCGCAGCACATAGGTGGAAAGAATCATGATACAAAGACACACACACACACACGCACAGAGACACACACACACACACATAGACACACACACACACAATCGCGCCGCGCTGCGCTCGAATATTTTACGCTGGATCTACGAAACACCCAGAGGTTTGTGAATGCACAATACAATACCGTGCAGTACAATGCAAATATTTACCAAATAAGATCACACCGTGCCATGCCATGCCTTGCAACGCAATGCCAGTGCAATAAATTACAATACACTGCCATACAATACCTACGGACCTACGTATGTCTATCATACAAAGATATATGAAACGATTAATCCATCCAGCCAGCCATCCATCAACGCACTTCTAAAGCTTCACCCTCCGCGGCCTTCGGCACAAATGCAGCGGAAGTGATGGCAAACAGTCTTCCCCCGGCTGGCGTCGCAGTTGTACCACATGCACATCCCACCTCCCAAGCACTGGTGGCACAGGCCCGCATGAATCTTCGCGAACGTTTGGTACAATTCGACTAAGTTACGACCCTGCCGCAAAACGCAGGAATTAGTTAAGAAGTGCTTCGCGAAGCTGACGTTACAGCAGAAACTGTTCGGAGAGTTCGGGAACGTGAAAAGTGAAAGGATCTCGAAAGACAAGCAAACGGATGTTCATGGTCCGCCTCAAAATCACTCCGTCCAACTTGAAGACATGTCATAGACTCTTCAGTTTGGCCCCTGGCCTGTCCAGGAGCCACCGTGTGCCAAGCCCCAGTACCACGAACTGTTCGTGCGGCTTCCTTCCTCCTGACACCCATCGAGTTGTGAGAAGCCTTGCTGCCCGACCTTGCAGGAACTGTCCAAAACAGGGCACCTTGGAAAACAACGCTGCCCTATGCCTTTTTCATGCCTGCCATACTCCTCCAAGCTTTAGGGGCCTTGCTCGGTTCAGTCCCCTGCACCAGACAGGCCCTAAACCCTCAACAGCCCAGTCGGCAAGCGCGAGGCTTGGGCGGCTGCCAATTAGGACACTCATCCCTGGGAGCAGGAAAGAAGAAAAGCTGATAAGAAGTCGCCTAGGGGTAGTCGCTTGAAAACGACCGAAATTGGAGGTTAGCAAGCAGGAACTGGATGCTCATGGACTCAACGCCTTCATCACGAGGTCCGTAAGAGACCCCCAACACCCCCAACACTTCACATTAAAGGGCCTCATGCTTCTTATCCCTATGTTCCAAAACATTCAACCCGAAAGACTCGCCCAAACTCTCAAACTAATTACAGTCCTCGGATTTCTCTGCCAGGGACCTCTGGACGGTCTGCTCCTCCTTCGGACAATAACCCGACACGTTTCAGGTTCCGGTACAAACTACTTCCTCACTCCTCGCCTCTTGTGTGAGCGCAGCAATCTTGTCCGCCCGGAGCTGTCGCAAAGACAGGTCACACTCTTCCTCAAACCCGGCGGCAGCTCAAGCTTGCATGTCGCAATGGCTGTCTCATGAAAGCCTTCTGCAGCTTCGTCTGGCTTCATTTCGTAACGGAAAGTTTGTGCGTAAGCTCTTTAGACAAGTCTGTCTGTGTATGAGTATGTGAAAGCATGCCAAGCATGAATACACACGTCACATGAAGAAGTGGCAAGTCCCACAATCTTGCCGTTGTGGTTGCCACAGAGGCATGTTTGTAGCCACTGTATCGTATTGTTTTGGTGACTTACGACACTGTGACCAGACTGTGACTACAAGGGTCTTCAGGACTTCGACCAATGAATGTAACTACATCGCGCTCGAAGGCTGGGTCGTTAAACTGTCGATTTAGAACAGGCTGCAGCAGATATTGACAAGCTTCGGTGCCGCCCTGGCAGGTGTCATCGGCCTGCCAAAAACGACACCGACAGGGTTTGGAGGCTTTGGGGGTCGGCTTAGGGGGCTTAGAGCCAAGGGCCCCGAATTCAGACCCCGTTCCTTTAGCTGCGGCAGGACCCTGCAACACCGCCAGCAGCTGAAGGCATGCATTGAGGGAAGGAAACCACCTGCCCCCGCCTCGGTGGGCAAATTGTCGTCCGCCAGCTCGGACAAGCTGGGCTGGGTCCCAATCAAGCATGCAAAAGCAAGCAGACAGGACCGGGCCATGGCGGATCAAAACTGTTCGCTTCAGATAGTGAGGGGAAGAGCGTGAAGGTGCACTTCTGCCTGGACAAAAGGGCTGCGTGGAAGAATGTCATACCTCCGGCACGTCCAGAACTGCAGGGAAGCGCAGTCAAATTTCAAGCAGAGATCTTCATAAACCTACCAGTGCGTGTGGAAATCGTCCCGAGCCACGCGCATTGTCGACGACAAGCTCTGTACCCTTGTCCGTCCTTCATCTGACAAAATACAGCTACCAGACCCATGGCACTGAGGATCTACGGTAGGATGCTCAGGCACACCTGCACAAATACTATCAAGTACTAACGCTTCAACGGCCGCCGCTGCACCCCGCAACCAAGTCATCATTCAGCCGGCCATTGTCCCAAACCTCCCCGCCAACGCAGCCTCCTCATTGGACGCCCCGCCCCGGAACTTACCGTTTCGCCTAGGGCCTACAGTAGGCCATAAGCCCTGAATGAAGATGATGCCCAGCCGGGTCCTGAATTTGAGTTTGCCACCGTCAGCTTCCTGCAAACCGTGTCAGGTCCGGTACGACGGGCAGGCGGTTTTGTCTTGTGGTTTTTGGGAGTTGGGAGCATAAGAAACTATCGGCTTGCAGAGATAACAAGACCAACACAAGCCACTTCGAGGACAGCAACAAGTCAGACTGCAAAATACAGCGAATATCAATCATGCGGCATCGGGATTGCGCTGATTGCTGCCCCCCCAACAGTAGAGTGCAGGAGTCACTGCTGCTATTCATGTCATTGCTCCACGCTCTTGCTACTGTTGGCTCCACTTTTTTGACTTGTTCGAGATTGTCGGTGTTACGCTCCGTCGTAATTGTCGTCACTGCTAGCTCTGCCATGGTTGAAGTCAAGGCCATGATCGTTAATCAGCATTACAACCCCAAAGCTGCAACCTGACATACACTACTACGGCAGTCGCATGAGTAAACAGTCCAATCGGGATTTAGACAGGCAGCAAAGGAGACCAACACCAACTTTGAAACCCTTAATCAGTTGCGTGGGAAAGTCTGTCAAGCCAAAACCAGGTACAAAATCATCAGCAAGACTGCGTGTACCCTGCTTTTTCGTCGCCCGTCTGCGGCAGGAAAGCCATCTACATGGCGACATACTGTATGCTGGGGCAGATCGTAGGACCGACAGCAGCAAAAACCGTCCTTTGAGAGCTGTCTGCATGGAGCGTAATTCGGTATCGTTCCACTCTTTTGTTCGGTAAGCTGGCGTGCTGCATGATCCATTGACCCCCCATCTCTGATAAAAGGTGCCGGCATGTTACATGCAGACATAATATGAGAGCTGCTGCAAATTAGGGTTCTCGTCTGTGCATCATACCAAGAAACATCTCATCCTCCAGAAAAGGAACCCTAATGTGCTCGCAAGCCAACGATAATGAATTTGGAACCAAGACTGCGAGATCGTCCACACAGAAATGCCAACGTCACATGCTCTGTATGATGCTTTTGGTGAAGTTATGCTTTCTTACTGCCAGTGCTCTCAGCACCGATCTTGCTCGTGCTCTAGCAGTAGGATCGTTTAACCGTTTAACCTTATGCTGCTTCTTCTACGACTAGTCCTCTTGCTACTGCTACTCACCCTAGGGCAGGAGGAATCTATAGCTCCACCTCCACACCCCATTCACGGTCCGACTGCTTGCTTGAATACATCAGTTTACAGGCTTGCACAAATACATCTGCCCTGATACTGCGAAACGCTACATGAATGCCGGGCAGGGCGAATATCTTCCTGGCAACAATAGGACGGAACAGGAGGCATCCGGGAGGGCGGTGCCAGCTTCTGATTGCTGCATGATGCCCATGATGTTGTCCGGGAATCATCGCGCCTTGGTTGCCTCTATACGCTGAGCGGCGTGAGGCCACGGGGCATGAGCAGCAAAAGACTTTACTTTCAGCTGCCGTGGCACACCCCAACCAAACTAAGTCCGGATAGTGATGCTTCTTCCTTAAACCTCAACCTGTCAAACATGTTCGATTTCACTTCTCAAACCCAAAACGACCTCACGCCATGAGGAAGGCCCTGCAAGAGACTTCTGCTAGCAGCTTGAACCTTGGAGTGGAACCCAAGCAGAAGCTCACCCGGAACCATGTCTGAAGAGCTACAACCCCCCCAGTTCAAGCTCAAAACCTGCGCCTTGGGCGCGGATCTCTCTGCCCTCCCCGCCCTGCTTCGCAGCAGATTCCTGGACGATATATCTCCAAACCAAACCACTTAGACATAGCCTAAACAGTCTTAGCTCAGTGCAATGCGCTACCAATCGACTTTGTCTTACCACTTGCTAAGCAACTTTTGCGCCGCCTAGTGCATGATGCCTAACACGCAACAAGACGTTGATCTCATCCCTGCTGGCAGGCAATGGCAGGCTGGCAATAGGATGCCAACCAGAACCTCAGGGAGGTACTGAGCATGGGCTGCTCTGGTTTACTGCGAGACTGTGTAACAGCCGGCTCCAGGTTCACGTGCGATTGCTCCCGGTAGACAGCCAGGAATGTTAATTTTATGAGTAACTTATGGATTTGGTATGGCTTCACGAATCCAGGAGTTTACGATTTAGTGATGATTTTTGAGGCTTATGATTCTGTTATGGTTTTCTTATGGTGTGGTTTTTTGCTTTGTTTATGGGCTTTTATATGCAGCTCCCTCTCCAAAACGAACACAATGGGAACACGGGCTGCGTCACGGTGTGACAGGCGCCCAAGCGGAGCCACTCGACTGGGGATGCACGATTTTGATACGTCTCCTGCCTCCTCCAGGCTGGGTTTGATATGGCTATGTTTTTCAATATGGTTTTCGACTTGCAGCCGAGCTGCTTTTCGAGCCGTGCTTTCCCGCGTAGCGCAAACCATAACCGTTCAAAACCAAAACTAAAGCATAAGAACAAAGCCATACCAAAACCATGACATCATGAGCGGGACGGAACCCTGAACAATAACAAAATCGTAACATTATCATAAGACCACATATTCGCACATGCCGCTACTTTACCAGGACTGGTCATCACAAAACTCGATCCTCCGGGACCAAATCAAGGAGGGCTGAACCGCACCGACCCCACCAGCACCATGAGGGCCGGCTGTCCAAGTGGTTTTCCAGCCCTCGCAAAATTTGATCAAGCAGCATTAGCTAAGTTGCTCCACCTCATCCGGGCTTGTAGAAGTCGGGACAGGTGGCGTACTTCGGCGCTGCCCTCAGTGATGGTGGCGGTGTGGATAAGCATGGGATTAAGCGCGACGATGCGAGAACTGCGAACATGATTCATGTCTTGCTCCTGAGAATGGCGACCATGATGATGTGCTGTGGGATGGGGGAACTTGGCTTGCGTCTGGACACTCCCTTCGATCTAGAAGCCGACACCATCACCTTTCCCAAACTGCCCCGATTCCTGGGCCCCGAGCCCGTCGTTTCGGACGGCTGGTCCTGTCACAGATGCGTGCCGTGAATCAAACGAATAGCTCTTTATTGAAGATTTTCGAAAAAAAGGATTGACTGACTCGTCGTGAGTCAGCACTGCCGCCAGCTGATGTTCCATGCCAGCTTTGCATATGGGCTGTTCCTTGTCCCGTAACATGGGAGCAATTCTTTTGGCCTGGTTGCAGCAGTAGGTTTAATCTAACCCACCGGGAAAGATTCGACCTGAGTGGCATGCATTGTCAGAACGCAATCTCTCTGTTTCTGCTCTCTTTCTGATGTTCTACCGCTGAGTCGGATGCGTCTGAAGGAAAGGTGCCAGGTCCGTCTGCAGTGAGTGTCAGGGCAGCGTTGACCCTTATCAGATCAGGAATGTCTCTCTGCAGTAGTACATGTCTCGCCGCAAACGACCCCCCCCCCCTCAAAAAACATAGCTCTAAGGCCTTCTCAAGCGCAGGCATCACCGTCGCACTCGACGGAGCTATCTCTTATACCAATTATTCAACTGGGTTCTACGCTGGATCCCCTTACTAAGCATTAGCATGGTGAGGTCGACCTCGTAAGGCCATGCTATCACGAAGGAAACCCTGATCTAGACCCGCACCCGAACCTGCGTAAACCAAGTATCCGTGGCCCCCATCCAAAACCAAAAAGCGGGCAAACCGAATCTGCTCACAAACAGGGCCCAAATCCTTAAACTCGGCCTCCAAGGAGGGCCTCCACTCGATCCAGGTGGCTGTCCAGCTCTTCCTGAATTCGTCCCGTGACTATCAATATGTTTAGAATTGCTAATGTTCCTGTTCATTCACTGCTGCAACTTCCAGCCTTTATGTAATATCGTGTTTATTGCCGAGAGGAGCATTGCGGCGTTTCTCCTCCCGGATCGTACATGATTTAAGGCATCTTCCTGTGACGGGACGAACCATTATCTAACAGATCTGGGCTGAAAACTGCTCAGTAAGATGCTGCAAGCATGAGGCATCCTCCAACACCGCTTTGTTTGGAACTTGCTTGCGTGCGGCAATGCAGCATTTGGAGTGGACCCAGTGCCTACTTGGCGTGCCTCTGCATGTGGAGACGGGAGAGGCATTGACACATCATTCGAGCTTCGCGGTAAAGCGCGTGCTTGATGGATCGAGTCTGTTGCGGAGCTGCTATGTCTGATACTGACAAGCTATCCAGGAATAGCCGTGGAGACAAATGACGCTCGCGTGCTCTGCAAGTCTTTCTCACGAGTTGGAGCAGACCACAGGAAGCAAGCTGCTTCCACACTGCCGTGCTGCGTGTTGGGCCGTTCCAGACCCACCAACATAGATGCTAGCAAGTCTGTCTGAAGGCATCCAGCTTGCAGATCCTTTTTACATGGACTGGAGACGCAACTAATTCGCCTGTTTCTGTTTTCGCCATGTGGAGCCGATTTCGGCAACAAATTCCTCTTGCCGGTATCGGATCCCACTCGTCGCATGCGTCGCCAGCTCTGTCTCGCCCGCTTGGAAGCGACTCAGCGAACATTGAATGCACATCGTTTTCGCCAGCTCCTTTTTCCCTTTGGTG